AGGAGGAGAATAGAAGGCTTCGTGATGGCTTTGACACTGGGATACCACCAGAAGAAGACGACCTGGTAATACTTGACATCCTCGCTCAAATTGTTTACTACTGGATCTGCAATGAAATGTGAATAGATTTAAGTTGTATAAACTAACAGTATAATATATCACTTGAAGTGTGACAGTCAAACTGTTTACTACTTGAAGCATGACACTAGAATTGCTTACTACTTGAACTGTAACAGAATGTAATTTAATTTGCTGTATAAACTATCATATGGTAGATAATATAGAGTGATACTACTTGAACCATGACACTCAAATTAGTTACTACTTGAAGTGTGATGCTTAAATTGTTTACTACTTGAACCGTGACACTCAAGTTGTTTACTACTTGAACCGTGACACTCAAGTTGTTTACTACTTGTGAAATGTGACAGAACATAAAATATATATTATATGGTAGATAACATAGAGTGATGCTGCTTAAATGTGAAAGTCTAATTGATTACTATTTGAACCGTGTGACACTCAAATCGTTCAATACTTGAACCGTGGCACTCAAACTATATACTACTTGAAGCACGTTACACAAATTGTTTACTGCTTGAAATACACTTTGCTATAAACTGAAAGTATCATATGGTAGGTATACTATTTCAACTGTGACACTCATTTGTTTACTACTTGAACCATGAAACAAACTGTTCACTACTAGAAAATGTCTGCATCTAACCTACTGTTTATCTTATAAATTTGCTTAGGTGAGGCTCCAAATGGAGGCACTTCTAGCTGAAAAATCCAGGCTCGCAAATGAAAATGCAAACTTGAATAGGGAGAACCAGTGCCTTCGACAACTTGTTGAGTACCATCAGTTGGCCTCAGAAGATCTCTCTGCGTCCTACGAAGGCTTACTTAGAGGAATGGGATTGGAAATTTCATGTTCACCTGAGGAACATACTGAGGCAAATGATGTATCCGGAGCACGTGAAAAAGATCTATATGGAATTTCCAAATCCCTTGATGATATCTATGATGATGAATGAAGAAATGGTGAATTTGAGTAAAACTGTTTTTTCCTCCTAGTATAATCACACCAGTGGAGTCTGCACGCCATGTTGTAATCTTACCTATATCAAATATTGTAAAAAAAAATGTACCCCCCTATGTTGCAAGTTGATGGAAGACAACAATTTTGTTGTTTCCTATATACTTCTTCCTTTTCTGTTTCTTCTTCCCTTGGGATATTTGATAACTAGATTGGAATATTTGTAATAGTTTTAAGATGAACTTTGTATCTATACAATTTCCCCATGTTTCATGACAGTGACGTATTTCAGTTTGTATTTTTTGTTAGTTTTTAATATATCATGAGATATCTATACACACCAACTTTGACGATGTACATCTAAACGCCTCAACTCGTCACCATTGTGTCGGACTATGTTCCCCATGGTATGTTGTTGTTGTGGCTTTCAGTGTGAGGTAAACACTTGAGCTATCACTTGTATAGAAGTAAAAGCAGATACTTTATGCTAAAATTAATCAACTAGTGTAGTTTAATGTATGGTCCTTGCTCATTTCTTTACAAACTATATTATTTTTTTGCTTTCTTTTTAATTTTACTTTTTCTATATATTGAAAAATTTCTCAGCCTCAAACTTACCTAAAAAGGTCAAATTGGAATGGGAATTCCCTCTAATGCAAATCTTCTTCATGTCCCATTCATAGTATTCTTGTCCCTTTAACACCTCACCATATAAAAGTTGATGGATTCATATAAAAATAAATAAATAAAGCTAGTGGATAAATTATATATACTGATGACACACACAACATGCAATATATTTGAACTTTTTATGAGATTTTATAGCGTTTTCAAAAGTTAATATATATTTATCGAGTTTAGAGGCGAAATTAAAGGTTAATGTACATGTACGATCAATTCAATAATTTTGGTCTGAATTATCTATATATTTTTAATTAAACTGTTAATATAAAACTAAATAATCCTAAAAGGCTCAAATCTGAAATCTATAAGCTTCAAATTCTACCTCTGCTTTAACAATCGAATATTTTTTTTAGGGTTTATTTATATTTATGTTGTAGTCTTGAAAATCAAATGATGATGTATAGCTTTAGTTACACTTGTGGGGAGAAATGAACTTCAACAAAAAGTGTTTTTATAATTAATTACAGAAGTAGACACACCACAAGAAATTGTTTGGATTTCCAAGTATCCAAATGGCACCATGATAACCCTCCCCCCCACCACTCATTCATGCCTCTTGATAAGTGGCAAAATTATATATATAGGCACTATAAGATATATAATTTCAAATATAAAAGTCATAAATAATACTACTAAGATTCTAAGAGAATAAATTGCATATTTAACATAAAATATTTTAGTTAAATATCATGACATATTTAGTATAATTTTATATGCTTAGTCTATAGAAAATTGAATATATATAGATTTTTCATCTATTATTATTACAAGATAAAGAGGTTGTTTCCATAAACTTTTAGTTCAAAATAAAAGTTTCGAAGCAGGGTTGCAAAAATAAAGTTAAAGTTGTGTCATATCTTCTCTAATCACTTTTTTAAAATACATTAATAACGTTAAATTTGATATGCATAATACATAAATAAATACTCAAATTTGGTTTATTTTTGCAAGTAAGCATTATAACGTTGATAGTGTATATCTAGATATCTTCGATCTCAATTGAAAATTAAATATTTCAATTCGTTTTTACTATATCTCGTGAACATCTAATGTTCTAGATATGTATATTAAAAATTAAAACAATTAATTATTATTTAAGGCTAAATTAAGATTTTATCTATATGTTTCCCCTACAAATGTGATAATTCCTTTAATGATGTGAATTTTTTGCTAAAATCATATAATATGAATTGATTTAGCCCAAACACTATATTGTGCCTTATCCATTTTGAGAAAATGACACAAAACTTTTATCATTTGACTAGATATATCATAATATGGACAAGAAGATTATAATATAAAAATAAAATTAAAGATTCAATTCAACTTTTTGAGAATATTAAATCTATGACACTAATGAGGAACCAATCAAACTTATTCTTATGGTTTCTTTCTTTTCAAGCTTTTAATTTCTTTTTTTTTTCAACATCCATTCTAGCCAAGGAAAATATTAACTTTTTTTTTTTCTTACTTTGTAATTTTCTTGACCTAGCATATTTTAACAACTTAAATAAAATCTAGTCATCCATAAAACTTATCCACATATATATATTTTGTTTCCTATGTATGTTTCTGTCTGTTGGTAAGGTTGTTCTATGGACACCTTTGTCAAGTTGATGTGATTGGGACCAAATAAACCCAACCAATAATTAGGTATCTTTTGTTCTATCTCTCTCTTTCTTTTTAGGGTAGTTCGTATCTTCATAAAAATATTTATTTTATCGAGCTTTATTTTGAGTCAATTTCCCAATCGTTATATTTTTTGTGCGGGTCAAAAAGTATTCTTTTATCATTTTAACCATTATGTTAACAGTAGAGCCAAAAAAATATTGTCAAATGTATTGCTTGCTAGGTGGACGAAGGATAATTTTGTAGAAATCTAATAATTAGACATAGTTTTGTTCTTTTCTACTCCCTCCGTTTCAAAAAATAAATGATCCTATTTCCTTTTTTAGTCTGTTTCAGAAAGAATGACCTTTAACCTTTTTTAGCAACATTTAACTTTAACTTTTCATGTGGCATGTTTAAGACCACAAGATTAAAGAGTATTTTGGTACGTTTGATACAATTTTAATTTAGAAACACAAGATTAAAAAGTCTTCTTCTTTTCTTAAACTCCTTTCCAAATCAAACTAGGTCATCTTTTTTGAAACGGAGGGAGTATTTTTTAAATCTATATATTTGATACAATTTTTTGTATACATAATATAATTATCTGATGAAAGATGTTCAACTGTCAATTCTTTATTGTACATGATACACCACTAGCTACATACAACAATATATGCAGTGAAATTCAATTAAATGAGATCTAAAAAAAGTAATTTGTACACAAATTTTACCCCATCGTAAAGAACTAACAATATACTGGCAATATAATTTAATTGAATTTCCTTAATTAAACAGTTATATCTAAAAAATATAGTAATAACATAAGAAAAGAATACATAGTTATATTTCAAGTTAAAAAAGAAGAAGTTATATTTCAAGGTTGACATTTTTGAATAATTTTAATTTTTTAATTAGAATATGGCATGCTTTACTCTTAGTTGCTCGGGCTCTTCACTTTTGATGCCGCATCCATCTCTGATTCTTTAAAAATACACTATTTTTAATGAATTCGACACGCATCCGTTGAAATTTTTTAAAAATCTGACCTAACATATACTTCAAGGAGCAACTAGTGCTATCTAGTCTAAGTTGATAGATCATGCAAACAAATTAGTAGAGTTTAATTAAGTAAAATATATATTATCTTTTTTAAAAAAATATATAAATTATAAAAGACAGATAATATTAACTAAGGCAAGATATTATTGAATTTTTGACAGGGAAGTAGCCACTTGTTGTGGCAAGAACTTTTTCCTTTTAAAATGATTAACACATGCAACAATTATAGGATGAATTTGACCCTTTAAAATTGATGAGATAAACTAACATTTTCCACCAAAATAAAATTGGGAGTGCTATCCTTAAAAATGAGTTTTGTGGTGCATGAAATCAAATTAATTACGTAATTAGATATTAGGCATCAAATAAAAAATAATGAAACAAAAACCCTTATTATACATTTAGTAATAAATTAAACAATGAATTCATAGATTTAATGTAACTGATAATTTTAGATATAAAACTTGTATATATTTGTTAAATTGTCTACTACGAGCGCACTCCGTATTCATAAATCAAGTTGTAATTATAATTGTAATTAATCATATAAACAAGGATTATGGCACGGTGTAAATTCAGCTTAATTCGAGTTTCAAAATAAACATTGTTTCATCACCAATAGAAAGTTGAGATACATTCTTTTATATGAAAAAAAAGAATAATTACACGCAAGATGAATCGAATATCATTATCATAATATAATAAACAAGAAATAATTACACGTAAAATAAATGGAACATCACCATTGTAATGCAAGTATTATTTTAGAAAATGGCCACCCAAAATTGGCCCCAACTTGAAATCCCTTTAATTCTACTTCCACTTTTTTCTTTACACCTTCTTGGTATCCCAATTTCACTTGCTAATTTTCTACAACTATTTGCCTCTTCATCCATTTGTGCAACTTTATTATTTCGCCACGAAAGCGTGAGCGTGCCATTAGCACGCTCAGCTTTGAAATAAGAGTTGCAAGCATTTATGCTTACGACTCTTAACACTAAACGACCACCTTCACGGTGAGATCTTATTCTAACCCTCTCACTTCCGCTGATTGAAGTCAGCGGAGGTGGGAAATTCATCGTTCTTTTAATTCTTTTCTTGAATTCTCTACATTTTGATCGTTGAACGCTACGAGCAATATCCCTTTCCTCCATGCTTTCGTTGAAATAACAACCCGTCTCGTTTCCTAAGCTCTCCGTACACATCTCCAAGCTTTTCGTGCTCATGACGAGAGAAGATAGCTTCGTAGAGGGATGAATGTAGACGTCGTTATCATCTTTTTTATAATCGATTTGATGATGATAAGTAGAAGGATTGTTGAGGATTTGTATAAAGCTCCAACTATTCACATCTTCAAGATTTTGAGACATAGTGCAAGTTTTATTGTTGTTGTAGTAAAAAAAAAACAGAGCAAAAACAGGGGAAAAACAGAGGAATTTATAGGAGTGAGAAGGAACCAATTGGAGGGGCGGGTCTATCGCAGATTTAGAATAGGAACTTTTTAGATCCGATTTTTAAAATTTTATCATTTAATTTGTTGCGATATTTTTAAAATTATGAAATTATAAAAAAAAAAATTATTAAATTCAGTTGAATCGCACGAATAATTTCTTTTAAAAATAATTTGGAAGAGGTGGAGCAAAAAGTATTGATGCCACTAGAAATATTCAACCTTCTATTCTACCACATATTTTATAATGAGGAAAGGAACAACAAAAAGTTTTAAAGAAAAGTGGGAGGCTAGAATTATTTGATTTTTTTTTTCATTTTCTTTACCATCTAAACCAACACTCTATTTATATTAAAGTACGTTTTGATATTGAGTTAGTCAAATATTTATTTTTAAGCGATAACAAGTGTGTATATGCTAATTTAGAATCGAGATGTGTTTTAAGGAGTAATAATTAAGAAATGAAATTCGTGAAAAGTTGAAAGTTTAATAAATAAAAAGAACGATGAATAATAGAAGTATGAATATAATTTGATGTAAAAAAATAAAAAATAACTAATTTAATTAAGGTCAAATTTTCAAAGATTATATCTTTTTTAGATTTTAAATTGTAATTTATGTAATTTAAGAATACATATATTTAATTCATTACTTCTCCAATTAATGAAATCAAAAGAATTTTCTAATATTCTTTTATTTCTATATACTTGTAATATAAATAACTGCTAAAGTAGTAGTAGTAGTCAGATTTAAAATTTCAATGCATTGTTAATAAAGTTAGTTTAATAAAATACACTTCTAATTAATTTTTTTCTAAGGAGTGTCATATCAAGAACGGTCAAGTAATATAAAATGAATGAAATAAAAAAGTGGAGAAAGATAAAATTAAACAAATACATAGTTATACAGACGCTTAATGCATATTATATTTCAAATAACGATCATAAGAATGTTATTCTATTGAGGGAAAATGATCAAAAATGTTCTTAAATTATGTGTAAGGAACAAAAATGTCTTTCATTTGTAGTTTGGTCCGAAAATGTCCTAGTCATCAATACTTTGATCCAAAAATGGTCTTACTATTATTAAGTGGGTCAAAATGCTCATTTTCCAAATAAATATATTATTCATTTTCTTTTCAACACGTTTTTTTCTAATAAGATCTTTTAATAGCAAATGTATGTCTTACTTCAATTCATAAAAAAAAATAAAAAATGAAATATTACGTATTTTATTATAATTATTTTTATCGATGTATATACTCCCTCTGTCTCAAAAAGAATGGTCTCCTATTCTTTTTAGTTTGTTTCAAAAAGAATGACGTCTTTCTTTTTTTGGTAAAAACTTTCTACGTGACATGTTTAAACCCACAAGATTAAAGAATAATTTTGTACATTTTAACATAATTATGATTTATGACCACTTGATCAAAAGTCTTCTTAATTTTCTTAAACTTTGTGTCAAGTCTAACTAAACCATTTTTTATAAAAAGGGGTGAGTATATAATGATTGGTGTGAACATACTTACTTCTTAAAATTTGGAGTTGATTGAAAAATGATATAATAATACCAGGTTATAATTATTTTATGGGATAATAACAATTGAATTCCTTTTTTAAATAAAGCTAGGGGTAATTTTAGTTTTTCATTTATATGTTGCATCATCTACTACTATTTCATTATTATAAACTAGTATATTGGTATATTTACCTATCTAACCAAAATTCCAAATTTAATATAGGACGATTAAATATCTTTTCGTTCATTGTAATCCAATCAAAAAGACTTTTGTTTTAAGTTTTTTTTTTTTTGCATTTTTGATGAGTTGTAAGATAAAACATTCCCTTTTTCTCAATTTATGAGGACTTTTTATGCACTGAGACTTTTCTTGAGAACAACAAAGATCTTGCTTCTACTTTTATCGTAAATAGCTAATATGAGTAGAAAATATTTTCAAGAACTTATTGAATCCATCGTTTGGGCTCATAATAAATTAAAGAGCAACTTTCACATATAACAAACACAAAATTTATATTTGTATGCTATGGCAAAGTTTGCATAGTTGCGCTCCATAACAAACATAAATATGTATAATTAGCTATACATATACAAAGAAATCAAATGTATAATTCACTATACATATACAAAAGAAAGCAGTTGTATATAACTCAATTGTATAATTTGTGCATGTATAAAACGAAAAAGAGAGAAAGACAAAAGAAAATTGGGCAGGAGAATATTTGTATTGTATAATTATAGTGTATATGATAAAGATATATGTATTTTCATGTGTATATACAATTTTCTCTCACTTTATACAAACAGAAACACAATTTATACATTTCGTTTCTGTTTATATAAGCGATAGAGGCGAGGGTGGCGAGCGAGATCTGGGAGAGTGGCGAGCGAGGGGAATGAAAATATATGTATATATATAATTTTTTCTTGCTTTATACAAACAGAAACACATTTTATACACTTGTGTTTGTATAAAAGTGACAGGGAGCGAGCGAGAGAGGGAGAGTGACGAGCGATAGTTTAAGGGAGAGAGGTGACTGACAATAGTTTGCTACAGGGTACAATAAAATTAAAGTGTTATTATAACATTTAATTTGATTTATCAGTTTGTCATTATATACAATTTTTTCTAAATTAAAAGTTGCTCATGCTATTCACATATTAGAGAGATATTTATATCCTATAAATCATCAATAGTGTATATATACTTTAAGATCATTTTTTTAGATGTCACTTTATGAAAAATTCCTAAAAATTATATTTCTCTCTTTAAAAGTATCAAATTTGTCCTCAATCTTAGCCACCTAATGCAAAAGCATTTTAGGTTATTCAATTTCAATTTTTGCTTTACATATTTGTACCCTCTGCATAAAAATAGATTAAGTTTATTTAGTTTTCAAAATAACTTTTTTATCAGAGTATTTGTTAAAAAAATTTTATAGTTGCCCTAACTATTATTCTTTCAAAAGAGATGATATCCAAACTTTTTTTCTTCCCTTCCTTTTACATGTACTCACTCTCCTGCAATTACTCAGTTTAAAAGAGAAATATAAGATTGAATTCTTTTTCAGCTTAATTCGGAGCCTAGTTAAACCCAATTTTGTACAGACTTCTTTTGTTTTGAATAAAAACACCTCTGAGTCTATAATTTCTTTTTTAAAATAATCATTGAGCTCAAACTAGGGTTGTTTGAAATAAGTTTCCTGTCATAACCTCTTGGATGATAAAATGAAAGACTAAAGTGGACAAATTGTGTATAACTCAAGGTTGGGATGAGATTACAGAAGAGTAAGCTAGCGTTTGGCCATAGATTTCTAAATATTCTTGGCAAATATTATTTGAGTGAAAATATGGGTGAAATTTCACCATGTGTTTGGCCATAAAATTTGGGAAATATATTTCACCTTTTTAGAAAAATATGATTTATACACACAAGTTTTAAAAAATATCAAAATTAACTAAAAGTTTGTATTACAAGTCAATGAATGTTCGTTACAACAATAACAAATGATGTCCATGACACTAAAGCAATGTGGTAATTTGGAGTGAGTGCAACAAAAATTATTCCATACATCGTGAAGTAGACAAAGTACATGACTTTGTTACCTAAAGCCAATTTTTAATAATTTTCATCAACAATCATATCATTATTTAATATTCACTACATATTTCATCACTATTTTGGTGTTCACGTAAAAAATAATGTAATACAACGCAAACAACTACTAGAGAGGGTGTTTTTGTAAAAGATAAAAGATTGGGGTAAAATTTTAATTTTTAAAATATCCCAAATAATGAAATTTGGCCCAAATACTAGAAAAAACTAGTATTTGGAAATTTGGGATATTTGCCAAAAATATTTGCCAAATAATGTGTCACGACCCAAATCCGGGCCGCGACTGGCATCCACACTTACCCTCCTATGTGAGCGAACCAACCAATCTAACCTTAACATTTCAATGTAATATCAACATAAAGTAATGCGGAAGACTTAAACTCATTAATAAACCAATTCAATACTATTAATTCCCAAAATCTGGAAGTCATCATCACAAGAACATCTACGATCAAATGACTAAACTAAGAGTATTCTAAAAGCTAAAAATACATAAGAAGCTAGTCCATGCCGGAAGTTCAAGGCATCAAGACTTGAAGAAGAAGATCCAGTCCAAGCTAGAAGCATTAGCTCACCCTGAATTTCCGATGTAGTAAGACTGACTTGAGTTACTGTTGAGTCGAAGACGATGGTACGTTTGCTGCACTCCACAAATAAACAAGAAGAAAACAATAAAAGTAGGGGTCAGTACAAAAC